GGGACATGCCAGGAGTGAAGCAGCATGAGGAGAGCAGTACCTGTTGGTTCTTGTGCTGGATCATGTGGGACTTCAATTGGAAGTAAGTGACGAATTTCCCGGGACAGAACTGGCACTGGTAGGAGCTGTCAATCACCACCATCTGCTTCACCTCACCACCGGCAACGCCAGCGGCACCGGCCTCACCCGAGTTCACCAGTGCCTGCTGCTCAGGGCTCTCCGATAGTTCTGCTTTAAGTGGAATTTGGAGTGGGGTTAGGGGGGATAGAGGGGAAGGAGTGGAGATTGAGGAGAGAGGGGGGTGACGACTTTACAGACAGGAGAGAGTGGGGAGGAGGGGAGACGGTGGTGTGGGCGGGGGGTGGCAGGGAGGGAGAGATTGGGGTGGGGAGGAGTGTTGGAGAGACGGGGGACAAGGAGAGTGGGAAGAGTGAAGAGAGAAGTGGATGGGGAGAGGGGGTTAAAAGTGAGTGGGTGGGGGTGGAGAGAAATGGGAGAGGAGGCAGAAAGGGGCGAGGCATACAGTAAGGCAGGTGCACGAATAAAGAGGATGAGAGAGAGAGGCGGGGGAGGGAGGAAGAGATACAAGGGCTTGTTAAACATGTCTGACAACAGCCTCATTCACCCTGTTGCCCCTCACCCCTGCCCCTGACATTCTATCGACCAGAGGGAGGGAGAACTAAAATGCTGAAGAACTCATCTAAATGTGACAACACTCAACAACATCCAGTCTCTAAATATTCCAACAAATCACAACTCTCCAACAAATTTTCTTTATTCATTAATGGGATGAGGGCATTACTGGCTAGGCAGCATTTATTGCCCCATCCCTAATTGTTCAGAGGGCAGTTGAGAGTCAACCACATTGCTGTGGGTCTGGAATCACATGTAGGCCACGCCAGGAAAGGATGGCAGTTTCCTTCCCCAAAGGAGATTAGTGAACCAGATGGGTTTTTCCTCAACAATTGACAATGGATTCATGGTCATCATTAGATTCTTAATTCCAGATATTTTATTGAATTCAAATTCCACCATCTGCCGTGGCGGAATTCAAACCCAGGCCCCAGAATGTTATCTGGGGGTCTGGATTAACAGTCCAGCGATAATACCACTAGGCCATCGCCTCAAGTGAATAACCAAATGAAAAACTCTCAAGTGAAAGTCCTCATCTCAGTCTGAAAAGGTGTAGCTTTTATTCAGAGAGGGAATCACTGGGTTTTAAATTCTCCTGCTGGAGAAAGCTTTCTCTCAGCATCAACCCTTCCAATATCTCCTATATTTTGTACAGTCATTCGCCATCACCCACATGGACTCTGGGTACCTAACTCCACTACAGAGAGACAAACGGCTGGTAACAGGTCTTTGGGGGAAACTACGGCCACATGAGGAGACAGCACATTTACAAACTACTCCAGCCCAGGCAGGGATTGAAGCCGCCTCTTCAACACATCCTTCAGCACACTCTACCCAAATGAACCCCTCAGAATCAAACCCTAAATCGCTGAGACCCAGCACTGGTCCTTGCAATACTTGACTATTTACAGCCCTAACGACTTGAAAAAAAAGACCTCCTTTTTATCCCAACTCTTTGCTGAAATGGGTTCATATCTCACCCTAGCTGATGGCCTTTAAGCCTTAATCTTAAAAAACCCATCTGGTTTGCTAATGCCCTTTAGGGAAGGAAATCTGTCATCCTTACCTGGTCTGGCCTACATGTGACTCCAGACCCACAGCAATGGGGATAGTTCCCAACTACCCTACAAAACCTCTCAGTTCTAGGGTAATTAGTGACGGGGCAGTGAATGATACCCACATCGCACACAGGAATAAAGAAACAAAACATTCATCTCTACCAAGCTAATGAATTAGCCACAACATCAGAGGCCCTTATTCTGTGTATTAACCTTTAATGTACTATCCTGTTGTAACTCTTGCGGAAAGCCAGTATTTAACATCATTAGCCAGATCACTGATGACATTTCCCCCCTCAAAAAAACCCTAATGAATTGTTCAGGTAACACTCCCCCACAACCCCTCCCATGAAACCCTGTTGTATCAAATGATTTTCTAAAGTGCTCTGTAACAACTCAACAGTAATAGACTCCAACATTTCCCACATGACTACAAGGCCTTGATCAGATGTCAGTTTGGTTTGTTACTTTGACACAGAGGAGCTCCAGCCAATGAGGGAGGGGCCTCTCAGTTCTCTAAATAGGCCACTTCAAGCCCCCCCCACCCAACACACAATTCAATAAGATCATGGTTGATCTGATTTTAACCTCAACGCTACATTCCTGCCTACTCCCGAGAATCTTTCACCTCCCTGGTCATCAATCTACCTCTGCCTTAAAATATTTAACAATTCTGCATTTACTGCCTTTCAAGGAAGGACAACCAAAACCCAAACAGTCTGCCAGAAAAACATCTTTCCCCATCTGTTTCAAATTGGTGACCCCTTGGTTTTAAACTATGACCCCAAGTTCGAGATGCTGTCACAAGATTAAACATCCTTTCGATTTCCGTCCTGTTAAGTCCCCCTCACGGTCTTATCTGTCTAAATTAACTCACCTCTGCCTCTTCTAACCTCTAGAGGTTACTGGCTCAGTCTGTCCAGTCTTTCCTCACAAGGTAATCTGCTCATTGCAGGGATTAGTCTAATAAACCATCTCTGAACAGCATCCAACACAGTAACATCCTTCTGTATGTAGGGTGACCAGTCTGTTACACTCTACTCCAGATGGGGTCTCACCAATGCCCTGTATAACTGAGGCACATCCTCTCCACTCTTATATTCAATCCCCATTGCTGTGTACCATAACATTCTTTTTCAAGAATCCCTACAGCATGGAAGCAGGCCATTCGGCCCATCAGGTCCACATCGATCCTCCAGACAGCATCCCACTCTGATCTACCCCCCTACCCTATCCCTGTAACCATGCATTTCCCATGTCTAACCCACCTAAGCCCGCACATCCCTGGACACTACGGGCAATTTAGCATGGCCAATCCACCTAATGCGCACATCTTTGGACTGTAGGAGGAAACCGGAGCACCCAGAGGAAGCCCACACAGATACAGGGGGGGAATATGCAAACTCCGCACAGACAGTCGTCCGAGGGTAGATTCGAACCAAGGTCCCTGATGCTGAAGCACCAGTGCTAACCACTGAGCCACCCAGTTCTTGTCAACAACGTCCTTCGTATTCCTCATTGCATTTCTCTGTGACTTTCCAGATTCTGCCCGTTACTACTGGAGTCTCGCTGGGCTCTGACTGACTACGCTTTCTCAGGGAGTAAGAGGCGGAAACGGTTCTGAATGGTGTGATCGCTGCCGAGGGTACAGGAGAACACCGACCCACCTCCCCAGCCCTGGCGCTGCTGACCTGTAGCCTCGTTCTCCTCACGCTCGCCCACCTCCTCTGAGTTGACAGTGAGCACCTGCATGGAGACAGAGGAGTGGGACACCCCAGACGGCCACACCTTGTGGGTCTGCATGTGCTTCTTGACGTTGGATTTCTGAGCGAAGGCCCGGCCGCAGACAATGCACTGGAAGGGTTTCTCCCCCGTGTGGCTGCAGGAACAAGGTGGGGAGAGGGATTCAGAGCTAAGTCGTAAGGCTTCCCCAACTTCAGACCGGTTCAGCAGGTTTCCAAGGGGACATCATAACCTTTTGGGAGTGCAGGGTGCGGGGAGTTGGGGATTGGGGTCACGATTCAGGGATGGAAGAATGAATCTGAATTTCGATAGTGTCTTTCGCGGGCCCAGCACACACCAAAGCACTTCACAGCCAATGAAGCCCTTCGCTGAAGTGGGGTCAGGGCTTTAATGCGGGATATGCACCTACTAATCCACGCACAGCAAGCTCCCACGAACAGGTGTAATAACTGGCGGATTATCTGCTCTGTTTAAGCGACTGTTGATTGAGGAATTAACGTTGGCCGGGAGACTGGGGGAAGATCTTCTCTGCTCTGCTTCAGAGCAGCGCCTCTGTGTCTCTCAAGTCCACCAGGGTCTAGATTTCAACTCAGCACCTGGGACAGTGCAGTGTGCCCGCACGGGAATCTCACCCTGGATTTTACTGTTCCGGGTCCTGGAGTGCGACCCGCTGAGATGGGGCTGAGCTCCAGGCAACAGTCATACCCCATGGAAATCAGTCAAAATGGAGAGGAGGTGGGCCCCATCCTGGTAGAGATAGGAGATGCTCAGCTGCTATACCCCAATCCCGAACAAAACTCCTTCCTGAAAGGAAACCTGCTGTTATCAAGAGCTTGGAGCTGAGAAGGTTGAGGGGTGGTTGGATCGAGGTGTACAAAGTTCTGAGGGGCATAGACAGGGAGAAATGTTACCCCCTGTTAATGTTGAAGGGGGCAATAACTGGGGGGCGGGGGGGGGGGCAGCTTGGGGGTCAGAGGGGAATTGAGGAAAACCTTTCTCGTTCAGAGTTTGATGGGTATCGGGATCTCCCTGCCTAAAAGGGTAGTCAAGCCATGAACCGTCAGGATGTTTAAGAACTATTTAGGTGATGAGTTAAAATGCCAAGGCATACAGAGCCATGGGCCAAGGGCTGGGAAATGGGATTAGAATTGATGGAGCAGAAATAAAAGCAGAAATTGTTGGAGGAACTCAGCAGATCTGGCCGCATCTGTGGAGAGAGAAAGCAAAGTTAATGTTTTAGGTTCGGTGATGCTTCTGTTTTTGTTTCTGATTTCTAGCAATGACAGTTTTTTTTTTAAGACTGGTATGGACATAATGGGCTGAAGGGACTCTGTCAGTGCCGTGAAAGCTCTGGGACTCTAAGCTAGTGCATCTGTTATCCGAGCACACCACAGCTGCCTCCCCCCTGGGTTACTGACTGGAAGTGGGGAGCTTCTGCTCTGCAGGATCCTCTGGGTAATCAGCAACATCCAGACTGCCCAGAGAGCAGGGAAATGATAACCCAGAACCAGCCCTCACTGGTAATTATGCAGCAAGCTCACAGTATATACTGAGGAACAGGAGAAGGCCATTTGGCATCTTGAGCTTGTTCCACCATTCAATCAGATTATGGCCAAGCTGTAGCCTAACTGCATGTAACTGCCTATGGTCCATTTCAGATTTAAAATTAACAACTGACCCACTGCTCTCCCACCTAGTGTGTGTCAAAGTGCTTCCTAACTCCTCTCTGCAACAGTCTGGCCCTAATTCTTAGACAACGCCCCCAGTTATAGAATCGCTAAACAGTGGGAATAGTTTATCTTTATCTATTCTGTCTTTTCCTATTAATATCGTGAAGACTTCGATCAGATCACCTTTAAACCTTCTAAATTCTAAAGAAAACAGGCCTAACGTGTGTAATCTCTCCTCATGATCCAGGTATCATTCTTGTAAACCTGTGCTGTACTCCCTCCAAAGTGAGTGTATCCTGCCTGTGGTGTGGTTCCCAGATCTGCTCACAGTCTCCAAGGAGGGTTTAATCAGGGCCTTGTCCATAGAAATGTACACAGCAGAGGAAGAGGCTGTAAAAATATGGAACAAAAACAAAGTTGCCAGAAATACTCAGCAGGTCTGGCAGCATCTGTGGAGGAGAAAACAGAGTTAACGTTTCGGGTCCGGTGACCCTTCCTCAGAACTGGTTCTGAGGAAGGGTCACC